TGGACATATGGGCATTTTGCATTCTGCATCTGTGACATCCGTGGCTTTTCCTGTGGATGTTTGCTTGTGTGTATGTGTCTGTATGTGTGTCTGTATGTGTGTCTGTGTGTTTGGGGTCAGGCACTGGGAACAAATGGGCATCTGCTAAATTTGACAATAAAGTCGTACAGTTAAATTGCCAAGATTAGGGCAGAGAGTGAGGGGTGGAAGACAGAGGGGTGGGGAGATCTGGAGTCTCAAAAGGGGAGGCCAAAGCGCCTGGCCCAGGTATTATGTGGGAAGAAGGTGAGGAAAGCAGCTGCTCCTTCTCGCGGGGTGTGTGTCCCTGTGATGAGTGCACACCGATCTGCTCAACATATGTCGCCACAAATCACAGTATCTCTCCCTCCTCCCACCCTCCCACCTCCCTCTGCAGCTCAGGACCCAGTGCAGAGAGCAGAGAAGCGCTGAGAAGAGGCGCCCTTTCAACAGGTGTCTTGATGCGCAATGTACCTTTTCACGCATTCAGGGTCTCCGCCGGCGGCAGTAGCAATAATGCGGGCACTTTGTTTCCAAGCAGTGCGCGCGAGCTGCTGCGGACGCCCAGGGGCGGGGGGAAGGCGGCCCTAGTCAGGGAGGGGGATCTGGAATAAAGACCTCGGGTGCTCCAGAGTGTCCTGGCCCTCTCCTCCCTTTGTTCTAGGACTCCCCGGGCCCGAGCTCCCGAGTACGCTCAGGGGGGTAGCATATGGCGCCCTCTCACCTACCCAAGAAAAGGAACCAACATCCATTCAAGAGCGCGCGGGGTCCCAGGGCCTGGGGAGGGGGGAATCACTGAGGGAATGGCTTGTCTCTCAAAGCCTGTGAGAAGCCTGTCTTATCTCTCCCCACCCAGCCTCCACCATCCCTTCAGCTGGCAAAGCAGCCGTTGGGTGGGGAGCAGCGCGTTGGGCAGCACCAACCAGCGGAAGCGCCCCAGCTCCTGGCAGATGAAATATGGGGCTAGTGAGCCCCTGGAAACCATATGCTTTCAATAAAAGAAGGCAAATAGGACCGAGATAGGCCTTGCAGCCAACCTGTTATAAATGAGTGGCAATTGGGCCAATGTACACGGGGGCAGGGCCCCCGGGGGGGAGGCCTGCTTGGTGCCAAATCCGTGTGTCAGCTTCTGGGACAGGTGTGCCCAGGGGCTAGGGGCCAGGTCTCCCCCCCTCCGGGTTTATCACGGCAAAGGTAATATTGTGCTAACTATGAGTAAACAGTCATTGTGAAAACCAGGGAGAGTTTATCTGAGGCGAACTAGTTGGGGGGTGGCTTAACAATAAAGTTGTCCGCCTTGGGAGCAGGTGACGGCTGGCTGCGCCGACTCCCGCCGTAGATGTTGTCCAAAGCACTCCACTTTACAATCTCTTGTAATTATTTATTAAACGAAATCTATTTATTATTATTTTAGCAAACACTGGAGACAGGTGGGGCTTTCTTTTCGTCGTCTCCTTTTGTTTGAAGGGCTGTTTGAAGTGGCCAGTCTCGGCCTCAGCAGCTCGCTCGCCAGATTTTTGTCTTCCCCTCTTTCAGTGCCGAAGCGAAGGCGAGAGAAAGAAGCCCCCTCCTCTGGCAAGCCATTAGCTATTCAGCTCCCCAAGTCCCCCCCTCATCGCTGGATTCTCAAAGGGCCCCCAGGCAATGCTAGGATTTCCCCCCAGCCACCGGAAGGCGGTAGGACCAGCCGATGCCTTCCTTCTTTTCCAATCTGCCCGCGGTCTTTACACTTGTCACTGCCATTTCTCTCCTGAATCCCCTCGGCCTCCAGGCAAACCTAGGTCTCCTAAGGTCAGGGCAGAGGGGTTCCCAAAGGCCTCAGAAGCGGTGGATGACTCTGGACTGTTCGAAACAGGCCCTGCTCGGGATGGGAAGAACTGTTTGCCAACCACAGCTGACGCGCAACGGGCACTCACCGCCTGCGCCTCCGCCGCCAAAAGCACAGGAATTAACTTTGGAGAGGGGTGTGTGCGTCCCCAGCAGCTTAAGAGGGAGGGTAGAAATCCTTGATCTTTAAACCTCTGAGACTCCTAGTAACCTAACCCAGCCTTCTGACCAAATGAAAAGCAGGGGTGCGCGCCCTTACATAGCCCAAGGATTTCCACCCCTGACGGATGCGCGCTCCTCACCCTGACTGCTTTTTGCGCAAAGCAGGTATTGGCAGTTGAAAGCCTTGGAGGCTCCCGAGGCAGAAAGGTGTTGAGGAGTCTGGGTAAGAATTCCCAGCGGGAACAGAATTCTCTATAGATCAAGACATTTTGGAAAGAACCCTCAGAATGTCTCGCACAGGAGGCTCGCCCTGCAGTGTAACTAATATCCATTAGCCTCTCAAGCTAAGGCCCAGCCAGGACAAGTTGCGCCCCCATCTAAAGCCTATGGCCAGATAGAGGGGGCCTGTTCTTTAGGCCTCAAGGGTACCACAGCAGAGGGGGGGTCCATCCTGGTGGGGTCTCCCTCCATGGAGCTGGCTGGGTCTCATGATACTGAGGAAGCATGTTTTCAGATTGCTTTCCCACTTCCTAATTTATGAATTTATAAATCAAGCAAGGCTGAGGTATGGAACAGAAAAATAGTAAGAGTGAACCTGGGAAAGCAGCCACTACTCTAATTCTAATTTCTAATTCTAATACTCTAATTTCTAATTCTGATCAGGTTATTTCCCACAGATTCCCTCTGTTTTCTGCATTTTGAGGTCTCCAGTTTTCCCCTCAAGTCAAGGAAAGGCAGTCAGTGCAGGGGGAAGGGAGAGATCTAGGACAAAGAGAGATGGATGTTGAATACCATATGACTCTGATAGAACTTGTGTGATTTTGGATGAGTCACTTTCCCTCTCGGGGCCTTGACTTCTCCATCTGTAAAGTGGGTCTCAAGATTAGAAGCAAGTTTGAAGTAAGTCATGACCTATGAGAAGAACTAGAACTAAATAAGATCAAGAGCTATGTGCACAGGAAGGTTCTGGCTGATCCTGACCTTGACCTAACTTAATTTCTCCTCGGCCAGGAAAGTGCTCTCTTGCCTAGATCAGAGCAGCTGGAATCCACAGGACAGCACCCCCATTCACAAACGTGCATGGTCCCCACCTCCACTCAATCACAGGAGCCCCCCACCCTGCTTCTCAAGCCTAGCACCCTCAGCCCAGAAGAGAATTTCACCTCCCAAGCATTCTGCTCAGGGAGAGGCCATTGCTACGGCAGAGCAGCAGACCTCATACCTCTCATCCCTTTTATCCCCTCCCATCCCCTTTCATCCCCTCACCCCAGCCCATCATTCCCCGGGTTGACCTGGTCTCTCCCTTTGGACCTGCTAGAAAATGAAGACGTTACTGCTTAAAAATCCTTACCTCCCAGCCTGGCTTCCTGCCCCGACACATCCCAGACAAGAGAGAGCAGCGGAAGCCACAACCCCTCACCCTGAGTGACCGGAAGCAGAAGACCACGGGGTGTCTGAGGCGGGGATTAGGGGGAGGGACGGCAGACGAAAAGAGAATAGATTTTTTTTTTCAGCTTCACTTTTGGAAACATTTCCAGTCTGCGCCAACAGGGGCAAATTAGAGGTCTTGGAGAATCCTCCCTTGTACCTGCCAGCAATTCTTGAATGATCGTGGACCTCCTTTTTCCTGCCTGTGATTGGACAAGAAAAGAATCAAGGTTGGGGGGGGGCAAGGGAAAAAAAAACCGACCCCAGCGTGCAGTGCTAACACACCGTAGGCGTTCAACAGACTTAACCGAGGTGAACTTTGGCCCCTCTCCTGACCTCCTCACACCTCCCAGATCTGCCCACCCAGGCGCCCGTCTCAACGCTAGGATACTGTCCGAGAACCGCGGTAGAGCAAAGTCCCCAGTGGAGTCTCGCCACAGCCACTCTCATTTGGGTGGGAATAGGGTAGGGCTTTAAGCGCCTGTCTGGGAAGTGAACACCTGTTGGAAAAAGTTTCTGAATAGAAGGGACTCAAGCAGGATCTCTCTCCTCCGGTCTCCTCTGCCTTCCCTTTTCAGATAAGAGTCTGTCGACTCCCCCCACGTATTGTTTAATCTGACCAATATATTGGCAATCCGAATTAGTGGACCCCCCCCCTTTCAGGCTACTCCCAGGACCCCTGGCTCCTTGATCCGCCTCTGCCACTAGCTTGACGCTTGACGGCTGATTTGGAGGAAGCCTCCTCCCTCTCCAGGACTACATTCTCTGGGGCTAGCGTCCCCCACAAGCTCCCCAAAGCCCCCCTTCAAGCTACCAGGAGAGGGTCTGGGCAGACTCGAGGGAAGGAGGGAAGAGACAAGCGGTTCGGTCTGGGCCAGGCCAGGTCGGAGCCAAAGGAAGTTCTTTGAGGAACTGAGAGTTGCTGGGACCGAGCCCGCGGGGAGAGAGCAAACAGAGCGGCACTCCCCTCCCCCGACCCCGTTCTTTGTCCGGAATCCAGCTGTGCCCCGCGGGGGAGGAGCAGGCTCGCGTGGCGCGGCCCCCGGGCCCCAGCGCTGATTGGCCAGTGGCTCGGGCAGCAGCCCGGCAGGCACGCTCCAGGCCCAGCCCTAGCAGATAAAGCGTGCCAAAGGGGCACACGACTAGTGGCTCGAGAAATCCCCGCGGTCTTAAGCACCTCGCCAAGAGCCACAGGGAAGCCCCCCTCCCCTTCCCTCCGGACACCCTTCGCGCTTCTCTTCTGCCTTGGAACTGGAGTCACTGCCCCCAGGCGGGGGCGCCGGCGACTCGGCAGAGCTTGGGACGGCGGAGCTGACTAATTCAGCTCCCCTCTGCTCCCCGGAGCCCGCTGCTCGCCATTCCTTTGCGCTTGGAGAACTAGGTAATAACACTTGGAGGTGGCCGAGGGATACACGGAAGACAGTGGGCACCTTTGATCTGGAGCGGGGTGGCTCTTGCTCGATGGTGTCGTTGGGGTTGAGTCTCTCCCCTTGGCCTCAGAATCAGGGACTACTGCAGATGACTGATCCACATCTTACCATTCTTCCCTCCCTCCCCGCCGCAGGATGGCTCCTCATCCCTTGGGTGTACCCCCTGTCCAAATGACGCACAAGATCGAGCAGCCCTTCCCGGGAGCCTCAGATAACGAAGTCCCCTGTGCCGGGTCCGATGCATCTAGCCCCGCGACTCGCCCATTGAGGGGTGGCGGCGGGGAGGCAGAAGGCGGCAGCTGTCGAGGGGCCGCGAGGAAGCTCCGCGCGCGGCGCGGAGGACGAAGCCGACCCAAGAGCGAGTTGGCGCTGAGCAAGCAGCGACGGAGCCGACGCAAGAAGGCCAACGACCGCGAGCGCAATCGCATGCACAACCTCAACTCGGCCCTCGACGCGCTGCGCGGCGTCCTGCCCACCTTCCCCGACGACGCGAAGCTCACCAAGATAGAGACGCTGCGCTTCGCCCACAACTACATCTGGGCCCTGACTCAGACGCTGCGCATAGCGGATCACAGCTTCTATGGGTCAGAGCCCTCTGCGGAGCTAAGCACCCCTGATGACGGCTCCCCGGGAGACTGGAGTTCCCTCTACTCCCCAGTTTCCCAGGCTGGAAGCCTGAGTCCCATCGCTTCTCGGGAGGAGCGCCCTGGGCTTCGGGTGCCCACCTCCCCGAGCTATTCCCACCCTGGCGCCCTGGCTTTCTCTGACTTCTTGTGATGGGCTAGTAGATCTCTGGGCCATTGGGTGCCGAAAGAGAGGAAGGAAGTTAAAACTTTCTGCTCCTCACTGGCAGATGCCCACAGACCATCCAGGTGCCCCGAGGACTTGTGTCCCTCTCACAAAACTCTTGGCATTGCAGAGTGTGCATATTTAAGGCTCTTCCCCAAAACCACCCCCCAAAATCTCATCCAAAGATGACGAGCCACCCCATTGGAGATGTCCAGTTTTCTATCACCCTACTCCCATTCTGTCTTTGAGTCTGTCTCTGGCCACTCCTCCCCCAAGGAGATGATATCCAATGTTTGGTCCTAGGGCTTGTTCCTCCGCTCCGCCCCCAAAGACACTGCCGACCTTCTCTACTATTCATATCAAATCCATAGTTTCCAGCCACTCCGTTCTGCCTTAATCCACGAAGGTGCTCCTCCACCTTCTCCTCCTGCACTTTTCCGAGCCATTGCGCTCTTGGAGAGCAGGCTGCGAACTGGGAAAGCATTCATGGACAGGGAGGAGCCATCCCCCAGCTCCCCTGCGTTCTGCTCTGCGCCCCCGCCCGGTGCCTGAAATGTGTATGTGTGCTGCGTGTCTCTTTAAAAGCACGCCGGAAATCAGTTTGTAAGTCATATAATGCCTTTGGAAATGAACTTTGTTACAGTAAATTATATACCTTTCCCCTGTTTTGTACATTTGTATTTATTGATGATGTTTTGTGATGGGCAAAGTCTGTATTTTGTACATAAGATTATTGGGGATGGATGAAGGAGGTTTTGAACCAATAAAAGATGGACTATCTCAGCAAGGAGACTCAGTTGTGTGCAGGAGATGGGGAGAGTTGCAGCCACTGCTGGGCTGAGGCTGGGACAAGGAAGGGTGAGTCTGTTCAAGGAAAGAGGTGAGAATTCATTTTGGGGTGGTTCTGGGGCCCTTGGGTGCAGGAGGCCAGGAGGATTGTGTTGGGAGAGCTGGAAGTGTCTTAAAGAATCACTGGCTTAATCCTCTTATTTTCTCTGAGGTGACCCACTGTTGTAGGCTCTGTCCCTACTCCATTAACTTGGATTTAGAGCCACTCCCCACTTGAAGAAGGGAGAAAGCAGTAAGTCAGCTGTAGAGTCCTTGGAATGCTCACTGGGGGGAGGAGGGGGGAGATGGCTGAGCATCCCAGCAATCTATCCTAGGTGCTTAGAGCCCCAGAGCATTTTAGGCACCAAGGACTGGATTGTGGTGCCTTGATTCAAGCCATGTAGCAGCTGGCAGCAGAGAAGGTGGTAGGTCCAGCTGGAATCTCTGTACCACACGGACATGCACAGCCTTAAACATTCATTAAGAAATAAATCTCTTTCACTTGAGGTGAAATAGAACTGTTTCCCTCCATTGAGTCTGGGAAGCCAGGCTGAGCTATAAGGACCCCGCCTGGGTCTGCCAGCCACTTGGGCATAGAGAAATGAAAGGCAGGAAGCCTGTCTGCTAGTTGAACTCCACAGTGGGTGGTCCTTGGATCCTGAAAAGAAGTAAGGCCAGCTCTAGCAGGGACTGCATGTGGGAGAGCATGAACTAGCTTAGTTGGTCCCTCTCTGTCTATCTCTCCTGGGCCCTGACCACTTCCAATAGAACATTTCCTGTCCCTTCCTCCTTGGTCCCTAATGGGAGCTCAAAGAAGCTTCCTCCTTTATCAGGGACAGGGTTTGGGGGCAGAAAGGGGACACTCGCAAACAAGTGAATCCAGTGAGTGTTGTTTCGTTTTGTGGCTTTAATCTGTGAAGAGGAGATTAATGGGTTGTTGGTGAGCTCGGTAACAGCCAATGGTCCACCTGGGGCACAACTCAGGGGCAGGTGTCAACAGCTCTGTGTGACATAGATCAAGTAACCTTTGGCTACTTGCTGGGCATGGGGGGGGAGGGGTATAGGCAGCCATAAAAAGCTGGAAGGTCTCTGCCCTCAAGGGACAGTAACCTTGATATAGACAAAAATAATTCAAGGTCAAAGATATATTGGCTCTATGTGGAAATAGAAGAGACATGGAGGATGGGAGTGGGGAGGCTTAAGGGGGTGGGCATTTGGGCCACCCAAAAGTTTGGAGAGGACTTTCTGGAGTGGGAGGCTCCTTCCAGAGCAAGACTTGGTGCAAACCACCCTCCCCTCTGAGCTTGTCAAGTGTTTTCCCAGGCTTTCAAGTCCAGGAACTGCAGGACACCCACTGCCCAAATCTCTCTCCAGGGCACTCATTAAGGAGCTATTAGTCACCCAATGCACAGACTGGTCCTCCGCCCCACGAATTAAAGCACACACATAGTTTAACCCACTCGGATGCTGGGCTGCTATACCACGGGTCCGGGTGGATTGCACACCGGAACTGTCAGCCTAACTCTCCAAGTCAGGAAGAGGCAGAGAATGAATCGTTTGGGTCTTGGTTTAACTGCTGAGAAACTGGGTGTTCCTTGCCCGCAGAGAGGGGCTTCCTTGTATAAGGAACTGCATCGCGGTGGACAAAGTGTCTTCACGCCTCTGTTCCCAAAGAGCTCCTGCGCCAGTAGGGCTTGAACTCATTTCTATGACTGGCTTGTCCTTAACCCAGCAGCACCGCCCCATCGTCCTGGAACGATCTTTCGGTGGCTTTTGGAAACCACTCAGGCTGCTCCAGCTCGTTCCTGTGCGCGCTGCTTCTTTGGCTACCGAAGCTTCTGCCATCTGAGGTCACTGTCCGCGACTACTATCCCGAAACTGCGGCAAGATCTCTAAGCCTGGGCTGAAAAAGCCTTTGCCTTTGTCTGCCCACCCTGCAGCACATGAATCTTGCACACCCCCTCCTCCACCTTGTCTCCACACACAAGCAGGTAGATTTATGGTGCCCTGCCCCCAACCCACCCCATCCCACCCCTTAGCTGGCCTCGGTGGGAAGACAAAGGGTCCCAGGGCCATTGGAATGCTAATGTCTGTGAGCCAGGCCACTGGGCTGGCACAAAGGCAGGCGGGGCCCCGGGTGCCCCCTTTCCCCCCCAAGGGCTACAGGGCTGTGAGACCTTGGACGAGTCTCTGAGCCTCAGCCAACTCAAAACAGAAGCTGGGAGAAGCTCCTAAAACCTTTTCATTAGATTTGTGCTCGCTGTGAATGGTGTTATAGCCTCCTCAGGACCAGAAGCAATGTGGACTGCACTGAAGTCTCTGCTACTGTGGACTATGTGGAGAATGAGGAGCGGGGAACTAGCTGAGAATGGAGCACAAATTAAACACCTTGTAAATGTAATTATTTGTTTGCATCCTCCCCTCCCCCCTTCCCCATCTTTAAATTCCTGTACACCAGTGTTCTAGAACCTTACTTGCCTATTCCCCTTCCCCAGGCCAGGTGCACAGACAGTGAACTACTTAAGGCTAGACCCTTCTTATTTCAGTCAGGCTCCATTAATGGAAACAGAGGTTATCCGTTTATGAAGTAGCCACACCTATGAAAATAGAGACTGAAGTTCTAGATGTAAGTGATTTTCCCAGAGCTGTGTGTCACTTGGTGAGTTGTGGCAAGCTGAGACTGGGACCCTGGCTAGGAGCCAGCAATGTGGTGCAGTTTGTTCTGCACCCAAAGCTGGCATCTGAGACAGAGACAGAGTCAGTCTATAGTTGTAAGTGCTGTGACTTTGGTCAGTTCTTCAGAGTACTTATAAGGCCAAGAGGCAGCACTGTGGTTTGGATTGCTCCCTAGGGCTCAACCTCCAAGCTTCTGTCTGTGGCCTATGCTTCTGCACACAGTCGTTTCAAGGATGACTGAGTAGCTGCCTGCTGGATAACTCAGTCTGGCAGGTCCTCTGGATCCGAAAAGCTTAGGCACACCCCTGACCATGGTGCTGAAACGGCTGGTTGATTTAGCATGAGACATGTCTGGTGAAGTATCTTGACACAGAACATAACCTGTTCATATCTTCTACCAAATTTCCAGGCTGGAGTCCTAGAGAGGTCCCTGTGGACATGAAAACTCAGAGGACTGTCAGTTTCCAGGGTGTGATAGGGGAAAGCACAGGCTCTGTGGCTACTAGCTGGCTGTGTAACTCTACAAAATGTGTGTGTGTGTGTGTGTGTGTGTGTGTGTGTGTGTATACATGCAAACTGTAGTCCCCTTTATTAACTGATGGAGCCAGAATCCAGTGACTAGCTTAGGAGTTTCTGACAGCATCCAAGAAGACCATCACATCTCCACTGAGCAGAGCATGGATCACATAATCTGAACAACACATGTTTTCAGGATGAATTAATGAGCATGTGGATTGACAAAATGAATGAGAGGCATTGAAACTATTTGTTTAGAAATTAATTGAATTAGTTTAATTGCCCAATTATGTATATTTATGGGGTACAATGTGATCTTTATGTGTGTGTAATACTTCATAGCTAATTAATAAGCCTATCACCTCAGCAAGTTATTCTTGCAGTACGACTGTTAAAAATCTGTTTCAGAAATTTTGAAATGCCCATTATTAATAACTGTAGTCACCATACAACAATGACTACCCTTTCATCAATACCTTTCCTTCCCCCATCCATCTCTCCCCCCCTCATCCTCTGGCAACCAGCTTTCTCCTCCTTGATTCAATGAGATGGACTTGTTTCGTTCCATACATAAGTTAGATCGTACAGTATTTGTCTTTCTGAGCCTGGCTTATTTCACTTAGCATAACATCCTCTGGCTCTTCCCATGCTGTTGTAGTATCTTCCACTGTGCACACTGTGCACACAGTGGAAGATCCTTATCTGTCCATCCACTGATAGACACTTAGGTTGCTTCTCTATCTTGGCTGTTATGAATAATGATTCTAGCAATATAGATAGTTCTCCAACATGCCTTTTTTCAATTATTTTGAATGTATACCCTAAAGTGGGATTGTTGGGTCTATTTGCCTAGCATATAAAGATAAGTGAGTGTTTATTGAATAAATGAAGGAATCAATGAACGATTTACATAGAGACACATGATTCATCTTGACTCATATTTCCTTTGCACCAAAGTAGCCTGTCCT